ACAGGATGGAAATGTAATTTAATAGCTGAATGAACACTTGATCGGCTTATTTCATCCTTAAGAAGAAAAAAAAGTAGTGGAGGCAACACAGGTGGTTAAATTGTAATATAGTCGAAATTCTATCACCCATGAAAACTGTAATGGGGATTCTACTTTTAGACTTGGCCAACCCAGAAACAGATGTGTATTTCAATGAGAATCACAGACCTCACCTCCTAAAGATATAAATGCTCTTTAGAGCAAACAGTGGTCCCAACATGTTTCAACTCTAAAGCAGGGACTAGACTAAATTGAGTATAATTGTTTCAAGTGTTTAGAATTCCCAAGTTGAACTGGGACTGAATGAGTGGCTCTTGTTTTATGGTCACAAGTTTCTACGTAGAAAAAAAAATGGTGATACTCCCTCTTGTTTTGCTCTTTTAAAAGAAAAAAATCAAAATCAGAAGAAAAAGTTTTAAGTTGAAATACAGAGATTTGGGCAGAAGTAGCTGGACCACAGGATTTTTCTTCAGTGAATGAGGCTGTAGTTCAGACAGCCAAGGTCAAGATGAAGACCAAATACTATTTTGTGCATAATTCCCAGCCATTAAGAGGAAGACATCAAATGTTTCACATTACATAGCCTGTCTGGATGCACAATCTTTTCAACTGAATTCCCCAGGAATATTCTGGCAAGATTCTAAATGCATATCATCCAGCATAATATGGAGAGTTTCTTGGGGGATGGGGTGGGAGGAACACTGTCCAAAATAATTCTAGCTAGAGAGCCTGATGCCAGAAAAGCTATAGTGTGCTTTACCCAGACAGAAGTTAAGGGACAAGAAAAGAGGAGAAATATAGTTGTTGGGGGTTGAAGTTTACCAGCCACTTCAATCAGTTTAGGAAAGGTAAAGAGATGTATGCAAATGTCGGATAGTTAAACTTAGTTATTATCAATAGTTCCTTAATATTTTCCCCTAGAACCTTTACCTCATTTCTCTTTTCTGGCCAAGAGACCTACAGTCCCTTCAAAGGAAAGGCAAACTGCCTTTTCTAGCTCCTTTCAGCTTCTAGTACAAGTGGTTTGCAGAAGTTAGGCTATCTTCAAGAAAGACAAAGCTGTGTTACTCGTCCCTCTGGTCTCCTTTTGTTGGTTTGTTTTCTCTCCTCCTTATCAGAAAACTTCTACTTTTCCCAGGGAAGTTATTACAGTCCCTGCTAAGTACTGCATCCAACAACAAGGCAACAAAATCCTGTCTTCGTTCATCAAAATCACAAAGCTGGACCTCTTTGCAGAAAATAGCATTTTAATATACCCTGGTTGATATATATCCACTGGTAAATAAAGAGAAGGTGGGAGGATGAAGATGCTTAGCTGCAGAGGGCAGCTCTGCAGTCATGTCTGGGTGTATGACTCCTTGGTGTGTACTTATAAATAGCACATAGACAGAAACATATATTCTGCACGATGCAGAATGGAAGCATTTACAAAAGGCTGCAATAGCATTCATTTTAAATGAGACTAGCATGAAACTTTCAGTTTTTATTTTACTGTTTCAATACTGCTTGAATTTTTCAGAGATGGGCAAAAACTTCAAAGAGCCAGCTGAGTAATTTGTCTTTCTCTGTTTAATTTTCTTTCTGATAGGTCTATATTTTCAAAAATCATTCTTAAATTAAAAAGCAAAAGGCAAGTGCTAGTACAAAGATAAACTGTTGGTGAGACATGATTATCTTTCTCAAAATTATTGTGCCTGACCTGATGCTATACAATTTTATTATTATGAGTCTGCAATACCACCACAGATCCACCTATATGGACAACAAAATACAGTCTTCCAATGGGATTCTTTGAAAGCTATTTAAATTCTGGATTCCCCCATCAACTTTAGAAATGTTCTCCCTAGCCAGGCATCGGAGGCTCATGCCTGTAATCGTAGCTACTCAGGAGACTGAGATCTCAGGATCATGGTTCAAAATCCATGAGACTCATATCTCCAAGAAACCACTAGAAAACTGGAAGTGGTGCTATGGCTTAAGCAGTAGAGTGCTCCCCTTGAGCTGAAGAGCTGAGGGTCAGCACCCAGGCTGAGAGTTCAAGCCCCACAATAGAAAAAATAAAGAAAGGAAGAAAGAAGGAAGGAAGGATAGAAGGACGGAAGGAAGGATGGAAGGAAGGAAGGAAGAAAGAAAGAAAGAAAGAAAGAAAGAAAGAAAGAAAGAAAGAAAGAAAGAAAGAAAGAAAGAAAGAAAGAAAGAAAGAGGATCTCTCTACTACTTTTCACCAGCCAATCAACTTCATCTCCAGATGATTGAAGCAACAGCACTTCTATCGTTCCTCCATGCCAAGACCTCATTTAAAGTTACATTTCACAGCTGAGAACACGGAGGCTCAAAAAAAAAAAAAGTGTGTCACTCACTGCTCACACGATATGCCAAAGCTTGCTGGCATTTTACTGAAGACTACCTGTCCTCCCTGAATGCTTATCAGAACTCTGAAAGGCTCAGAATATGGAGGACGTTAGGGGACAGACTGAAAACTGTCCTTTTGCAGGTGACATTTAAAACATAAACACCTTCCATCATCCTGGGTGGCACTTCCCAGGTCTCCTCCCCCTTAGCCCTGAGCAGTCTGAAAACAGTTGGGAAGTAACAAAGAAAAGGAGATGGTGACAAGTGGAAGACCGAGACTGTAGTATAAACACTTCTCATGTGTTCTGAAAGAGTTGTCTTCTGATGCCTTCCTCCACCTAAGCAAGCCAGTCCTCAACAGCCAGACAGAGAGATGACAATACTTTTTATAATGCCAAGATTGGGCATGCCCAGTTCATGTAGGCACATGCAGGAAAGTGGAGAGCACAGGGACTTGGGAGTATGCTTCTTTTTCAGAGGCTCCTCCTATTGCCATTATACCCTGCAGGATCTACTGCCATACATAGCTTATCTCCCTCATCTCAAGATTCAAGTCCCAATCCTGACTCTCAGACGAGACAATGCCACTGAGTTCCCACATCCAAGCCCTCTACTTAATAAATCCAAACTAACTCTCAGTCTTCCTTTTTGTAAGATGAAACATTTCTATAGACAAGAGACTTTGAAACCCTGAAGAGTCTTGGTGAAAAGAAGCAAGTACTATTTTATGGTTGGCACTATTGTAAAAAAAAAAAAAAAAAAAAGATGCAGTGAAAACCTTCCATCCAAAACCAAACACATGAAGGAAAAGCAAAACAATCAACCAGAAACCCCTGGGTAGTTAAAAATCCTTCGCTCATCTAGTAACCTAAGATACTTTTCTTTAGCTTTTAGAATGTTAAAAATATTTTTAAGAGCCCTTCATGGTTCTCCGCTGCCTGCTGCTCATTTTATTTCTTTGAGAATAACTTAATTTTAGGATGAATATTGCCTCTCCCTTTGGCATTTTTCTGGCACTAACAACCTGAATCAAGGGCTGGGAGTTGCTAGTTCAATCAAGCTTCCCAGAGCATTGACCAACATCTCTTTCTCTTCCACCTGTGGCCCATTCTGGGATGTCAATGCTCAGGAGTAAACCAATTTTTTAAAGAAGATTTTCCTCTAATTCTTCCAGCTTAGAAAACAGCAGAGCCTAAGCAGATGTACGTTCTACTCTGCAGAGGACATGGATTTGCTATCCCTTGGCAAGCCACATTCAGACACTTTCTTTTATTCAAAGGCAACCAGGTTTAACAGGTAATGTCAGATTCTCAGCAATGATATTTTTATGACTACAAAATTGCATTATATCCAGGGTCCCACCACCAGTGCATTTGAACTTAAAATCAGGTAATGATAGTCCTTGGATCTGGTTCCAGAAGATACTTTCTGGGTGTTACCCCTCACCAATTGCAAACCGAAGCTCCGATGAACCTTGGCAGTTTGTGCTTTAAATTAACAGATGTGCTGACCCCTGAACCCCAAAAAACAATGCTGATGTGTTTGCCATTTGTCAGATACCCAAGTGTTGGGAAGGTTGGGGTGAACAAGAAATGCCTCATTACTGAAAACACCAACAGATCAAGTCTCCCTTACTCTTACCCCAGTCTTCTTTGGGGTGATATCATTTCAGAAGCAAAGAGAAGCCCAGCCACTAGGCACTGAGAGGGGGAAAAAAAAATACGAATTTCCAGAGAATATAGGGGGGTAGGGGGAGAGGGCAGTTCACGAAGGTGGTGCTTCGAGTTGTTACTATAAAAATATAAAGTAACAGCTGCGGCTTCTCTGCCCGCTTCCTAGGTCCGTGCAGCTCTCCGGTAGGGCTAGGGGCGGGGCGGGGGAGGGGAGGGCGGTGCTGGGAGAGAGAATGACAGGGAGCTAGAGAGAGTCTGCGGGAGGGGAGGCTGTGGAGTAGGGAGCCAACGCTCTAAGCCTGGTCTGAGGCTTTCCTGAGTTGGAGGAAAGCAGAACAAACGAAGGGGAATAGAGGCCTTGATGGTTTAAAAAAAGAAAAGTGAGAAAGCCAATGAAAGGGAGGACAGCAGATGGAGGAGAAAGGAAAGAGGGAGGGAAAGAGGGGGAGGGAGGAAAGGAGCAGAGACAGAGGTGGAAGAGGAAGGAGGGAAGGAGAAAGATCGGAAAGAGGCTGGGAGAGGAAGGGGAAAAGAGAGGCAGACAAAAGGATCGAAAAGAAACGGGAAGCTGGCAGGGAGAGAGGTGTGTCGGAGCTGATGTCCTTGAAGAGGGTGCAGCAGTCTAAAGCCAAGGTTCCCAAAAGCCGTTGAAAGCGGGGGAAAAAAAACAAAGACAAAAACACAGCCCGTAAAGAAAGTGTAGCGAGCCTGGCCGGGCCAGGCTCGGCGCGAGGCCTGGCGGGACGTGGCCGGAGTAGACAGAGCGTGCCCCGCGAGCAGACGCCGGCTTCTCCTCCACGATTCCTCGGGTTCTGCCTGCACCGCTCGCCGGAGCTGCGGGACGGAACTGCGGGCCCCTGGCCTCCCGCCGGTCCGTGGTTTTCCTCCGAGCTCGGGCTCCAGCTCGGCCTCCGGCACTGGCTCAAAGAGCCGCCCCTAGGAGGTCGAGGCCGGGATGGACAGTCCGTGTAAGCTGCTGAGGGCGTCTGGGGCCTTGCCGCCCGGGCTCGGTGGCTTCCGATCGGCCACTGCGGGAGGAAGCACAGGGCATCGGGTCACTGCCTAGTGCGGCGCGCGCTGCTGGAGACCCAGAGAGCCGGGATGCTGCCGAACGCGCCGGGCGCGATCGACCTCCTCCAAAGCTTTGGGAGACAACCTGCCCTCTCCACCTAAGGGACAAAGTTGTGCGCGGAGAGCTTGGCCACTGGATCTGGTTTCCTCCAGAGTGGGGACAGTTAATTCTCTTTACCCTGGTACTGATGACCTCCGGCTCAGATCCCATGGAGGCTTCAGCAGCGTAAAGCCTGGAGCTGACATCAGCGCGTCCTCCGGACCACCCACCCACCCACCCCAGACCCCCCAACAAGCGCACTGGTATCGGCAACAGTCCCCTCCGTGGACACCGGCCGCGCGCGTGGCGGCTTTCGGTGGCCAAGGGAGGGGAAGGATGCAACTCGTGTGAGGAACGGATCACCAAACACTCCTGCCAGGCGCGGCCCCGGAGACCTCCGGTTTAGGAGGAGGTCTTCCTTGACGGGAGCTGCAGACGTCGTGAGACTCAGGAGGTCAGGGATGGAGACGCGCTCACCACACAGGCACAGCACGTCCTGGGGCCTCGGGGCCTCCGGATTAAATGACAACGAGCTGGCCAGATCTGGCAGTATTCTGCGCTTTGCTCTATTATTTGGGGTTTTGGGAAGGGGCCCAAGTTTTGCTACTGAAAGCCAAAAAAACTGACGACATGATTGTGCAAGCCTAAGTTTCCTTTCCTAACCCGAGGGGAGGGGAGTGGGGGGGCATTCAACTTCTCTTACATAGGAGACACGAACTGTTATAGCTAAAGGAGCTTTTTTTTTTTTAATGTTTACCCTCCCAACAAATCCTTGCCGGGAGAGGCCGAAGCTTCGATTCCAGGTGAGAGGGAGCTCTAGATTGCCCGCTGCGCTCATCAGCCCAGCTTGCTGTGACCTGGAAAGAACACCTCATAGCAAGAGTCACCACACACACACACACACACACACACACACACACAATTTTTGGTCCGTTCTAAAGACTTTTCTAGCACAGAACAGACTCCTGGGCTTGTCCCCACACTTGAGCTCTTCTCCTAAATACAGTTGTTAGGGAAGTTGTTTAGGAGTACCCAAACTTTTCTTTTCTCCCCATCCACGCACTTCAAAGTGGGGACCTTGTTTAGAAAACATCCAAGGAGAAGGAGAGTTCTCAGCCAAAGACTGGTTACCTTAGAGATGAGGGAAAATGAACTCCTGAAAAATAAACACTGGGGAGCTGGATTCCACCCCACCTTGGAGGGGAGGGGGGACAAATTCTATTTGTAGTTCTTTCCTTCTTTCTGCAGCTGCTCCTTCCTATACACCACCCCCCTCCTTGTGTAGGACAAGGGAAATGTAGGCGGGTAAGGCTGGGGACCCAGAAGCCTGACCTGAAGACAAGCATTCTACAACTTCATTTGGTCTCAAGGAACAGGCATTTTTAAAACATTGGGATTGCATGGGATTTTCTCACCACTTTGGGAATGACACCCAGAGAAAGAGAAGATCTGAGGAATGGGTCTCCCAGAGTTAGTTCAAATGAGACCAACTGGCTGTGGGTCCTATAGCTTAAGTATGCAAACATCCTAGTGATCCCTGGCAAAAATGGTTCTTAGGATCCTTCAAGAATGAAAATGAGGATCAGAAATGACTGAAATAGAGCTATAATATATCTGTAACAGATATAAACAATAAGCTTTCTTTGTGCATATGTCATATGAAACAGACTTGCTTTTCAAATATTTTCATTTTTTTCATTTCGATAAATATTATTTCATATGATCAGCAGCACAGAGGTGTTACGCCTTTAGGTTCCTCCCCTATATAGTTTTGTTTTGTTTTTAAAGCCCAGCTGGGTGAGATTTTTGAAAGTCCAAAAGTTTGGTGGTTTCTGAAAATATTGCTGAAAATACCAGCTGTCTTGAAAAGAGAGGTTTTGGTAGGATCTGAACTTAGGGAAGAGAGATCCTGCCATGGCTGTGAAAAGACATTTGGATGACTTTGGAGATTTCTAGAATGTCAGACCCTCCTGTTCTCTTACCTCCCAAGAATGAAAGTTTTCCTTCAGAAGATGAGAAATCTGAGCTGCACTTTCTTGTCAACTGAACAGAAAGCCCAGACTCACTGCCTTTCACCAAGATAAAATGAATAAATTGTGATGCATAATTTGATGTCTGACTAGGCATTAAGCTGCTCATTTGCACCTAATTTGGAGGAGACTAATCTCTGTGCCATATTGGGTGTGGGATACAATTGTATTTGTTTTATATTGAACATTCATGACATTAAATTTCTTTCAAAAAGGAAAAATACCAGAAAAATGTACAGTATTATTACTAAAAATTAAATAGCAACCAATAGCTATAAACTATCTTATAAGGTGGATTTCTTTGAAGATATTAATTTCTTAAAAATAATTCAAAAATAAATGGCATGCCGGGCACTGGTGGCTCATGCCTGCAATCTAGCTACCCAGGAGGCTGAGATCCGAAGATCACAGTTCAAAGCCAGCCCCGGCAGGAAAGTCCATGAGTCTCTTATCTCCAATTAACCACCAGAAAACTGGAAGTCACACTGTGGCTCAAATGGTAGAGTGCTCAACTTGAGCTGAAGAGCAAAGGGACAGCACCCAGGCCCAGAGTTTTAAGCCCTACGAATAACAAAATAAATTACAAAGCAAAAACTTATATTAATTCTCTTTGTCTTTTCAATAGTCAGTTTGAAGAAACCTTTGAAGTCAGTTTTCTGCCAACGAGAAGAGTGAAAGAAATCATAATACAAGTGGGTATGTAATCCTCATGCCATGAAAACAGCCATACAATGAATTATTATTTTATGCTTCTCAAATGAAAGCATTTGAATGTCAGCTTGAGAAATAGTTACTAATAATGACCTGGATCATTCCATGTTACCTGAACCTTTCAAGATCCTGGGAATCAAGACAGATAACAATTACTTAAATAGCCAGTGTAGCTAATTACGAGTGTGGATTTTAACATATAGAAAAAAAAAGTGTTTCATTTTAGGAAGCAGATGTAATAAAAACATGAATACTGGCCCTGCTAAGTGACTATATTTCTAAAAAGGAAGATCGTTCCTATGGGTCAACAATCAAAAATGAACCTAAATAAATGTTAAGGTTCCTTCTTCTCCCAAATTAACTAGAATTAGTTTCGAATTCAGGAACTATGAGAGCTATCTTTGGGTCATTAGGTATACGCCATAATCTGTTTCTTATGTAAAGATTGAAATGTCCTCAGAACAAAGTAATCGTATTGTGAAACAGCTGTAAGGAAGATTGTGAATCCTTTCCTCAACCTTTCCTCTTCTTAGATTCAATCTAAGAGAAATCATTGAAATTTCGGGATATACTTTTTAAATACAAATGAACCCACTGAGTTAAGTGATTTGGACACTGAGATAAATTTTATTCCTATTTCAATTTCAACAATCAGGGGTCAGGGGTACTCAGAACTCAAGATTACAAAACCAACAACTAAGTCTTGTGATACCTTAACAGTACTTAAATGTCAAGCTCATAGAAGTTCTAATTCTCCACTTTTAATTTTTTTCTTGCTTGTACTTCCCCTAAATGAGCAAGCATTGTTATCTTCTTTTTAATTAAATGTAATAGGACATCAATTTTTATAAATTTTCTTTACTTGGATTCATCTATAATTAGACAAATGAGCATTATCCTAATACCCCAGGATGTGTGTTCTAAGAAAGGTGGATATAGAAAAATCTACTTTTGACCTTTACTGCTCTGGGTGGCATCTTATTCCTCCCTCCTCCATTGAAACTATCACCCTGTAGTACCAAGGCTACTTAGAAATAGCACTTTTTACCTGGGATGCCCCAAGAGGAAGACTCTCCTAAAATCATCTTCAAGTCTGCCACTCTCAGCCACCACTATGTCCTCCAAACTCCATGGATTGGAGGTAAATCCACCAGTAAAGACCCCCTTATCATCTAGGAATGCCCCTCCCTAAGGGAGCTAGAGCCTCCCCCATCCCCTCTCCCCCTCCCCTAGACTCTTTCCTTCCCTGGACCCCACACCCAGTAGATGAGGTTACAACTTTCTGCTGGTCAATACCTAAATGCAGGAAGGTTGGCAATTAGCAAAAATAACCCCATCCAGGAGCAAGGAAGAAATGGTGAGTCCTCAAAAACTTTCCCAAGGGAAAGGAAAAAGCCAGAACTTGGTGATGAAGAACCCCCTCCCCCCCCTCCCACACACACTGCAGCCAGTTGTAGATGAATTCCCTCAAATCTTAGTTCACTTATAGGTAAATTTATAGAAGAGAAGGAGGTCAATTCACAGCCACATTGCTTTCAGAAGGACCTCAAACACACGCTGAGTTTGAAGTTCATGATTGAACTTTCTCCTTTCCTGCTGCGTGTTTGGGGCGGAGTATGTTAATAACCTTAATCCTAGCTACTCTGGAGACTGACACTGCTGTAATCAGCTTGTAGCCAAGCCAAGCAGAAAAGTCAAAAGTTGGAGAGACTCCATCTCCAAAAGAGCAAAAAGCGGGGCTCAAGTGGTAGAGGTGCTTACGAACCCAGCGGGAGCCTTGCATTCTAAATCTCATAATGGCAATTTAAAAAAGAAGAAGAAGAAATAAAAGCAAAACAACAAAAAAACCTTTAAGAGAAGACCGGATTCTGGCTTTTAAAAAACATAATTAAAATAAAAGAAACTAGAAAACAAAAAGAGATCATTGGAAGGATACAGGTGTAGATAGAGGCCAGATGGCAGAGCTAAGTCCAACTCCACCTGAAGAGTTCAAGTCTTGCTCTTTTTTTCCCTTCTTTTCTCTTTCTTTCACTCTTTATCTCGGTCTCTTTCTCGCTCTTCTCATTCCCAATTCCTTGCCATTCTTCTCTTCCCTAACTCACTTCTCCTTCCTCTCAACCTTTCCTAACTCGTCTAGCATCACCGGACCACTCCCTGCCTCAGTCTCTCACCTTCTCGACTGGGATGCTTGAAGGTCATTGCAGAAGCTAGCTCCCCGCCGTGCACCGCTAAGCTGGTCCCGGGAGGCGCCAGCGGTGGACCTTGCGCGGGCGGCCAAGGCGGGCCGGGGGCGAGGTAGCCACCTCCTGGAGCGCTGTACACGCTGTGCTGGTTGGAGGCTGGGTAAGCGCAGGCCGGGAGGAAGCCTCCCACTGCGGAGAGGCCGGAGGCTGACTGCCGGGTAAAGAAGGACAGGTGGTTAGCAAATAACCCCCACGTCTTTTCCCTTGCAAGCCTGGGAGTAATGGAAGCTCTTCATTTCCCCCTTGCTACCTGCTCCCTTATCCCTATGCAAAAAAAAAAAGAAGAAGAAGTCTGAGCTTTCCAAATGATCCTTTTACTTTGTCATTCATGCCTGAGCTAAATGCAGAGTTCCATGTGTTGTACGTCTCTGCCTTCCTTAACAATGTCATACAGCCTCCATTTATTTATTTATCTTTATTATTTTATTTATGCCAGTACTGGGGCTAGGCAATATCCCTTGACTTTTCCCCCCCTTCAAGACTGAAGTTCTACCATTTGAGCCACATCTCCACTTCTGACTTTATGCTGGTTAGAGACAAGAGTCTCACAGAACTTCCTGCCCTGGGGTGGTTTTGAGCCTCTATCTTCAGATCTCAGCTTCCCCTCTTCTCCCTGCCCCCAACCCCAGTAACTAGTATTTATAGGCATTAGACACCAGGTCAGACTGTTTCCAGTTTTTTAAAGCAAATGTGTTTTGGAAAAGGCAAGTCAATCTCCTCAAAAGCTAGCCTCCCTCAAACTTGTCGCCTGAGTAAAGGATAAAAATATGCCACCCAAAGAAGCTCGCTGGCCGCAGGCAGACACAGTACCAGAGGAAGCTTCTTTTCCTTCTTTCAAGCTTCCTCCCAATAGCCTATTAAAGATCACCTTCTTCCATGCCTCCTGATACCTGCGTGTATTTAATGTCCGTCTCCAAGGCGGGTTTCTCCAGCCCATTTACTGCTGGACTAGCAGGGAAGGCAGTGCGGTTCACGCTGGCCCAGTCTTCCATCTTGGGGGAGTAGGAGGCACCTTCGCTCCCTGCCAAGGCCCCTATGGGGAACACCAGATGAATTAGGAGGTGCATCAGAATCTGGGATGAACACCTATGAAGACCTTCAGACCAGATGTCTGGACACTAGCCAACTACCCCATCGGTACACGAAGGCCCTGCCAGGTAGCTCTTGAAGCACCAGCAATTGAGGAAATGCTCTGAGAATCACTGGGGTCTGAAGGACAGCGGAAACAGTTCAACTTTCACTGGGCTAAGGACAGAAAGGCAGATGGCTGTGTTCTTCCCTGCACCCATCACTAAACCCGCTTCCCACGAAAGGGCTGAGTCGGGGGCAGTGGTCTGGCACACCCAGCCAAAGCAGCCCCTCCAGTATCTGGAGGCCCCAATTTGAAAGTTCAAGTTCAAATTCAGGGCAAGCTCATGAGAAAATTGTGTAGATTTCTCAGCATCTCAATAAATGTCTAGAAGACTGGGTATTCGTTCTACTCTGAACTGTCTTCTCGGACACTGCAAATCTCTCAAAAGAGGCATCCATCCACCTCACACCCCTGGCAAGTAGCTGCTCCAGCTCAGGTGTTTGCCATGAAATTGGGGGAAAGTTGCTGATTGTAGCACAGGCCTTGTGGAGTCCCTTCTCAACCAGCTGCCCAGTGCCATTTAAAACAGTTTTGATCTCCTGAAACTGGGTTTGAGCCACCAGGAGAAACAAAGTATGCAAGAGGCCGCAGAGGCAAACTCTACCAATAGTGGCAGGAGCTAAGCATTCCGTTTATTTCCAGCCTCCTTTCCTTTCTCCTGCGCTGTCGATAAATTTTGCTGATATCTCACTTACCAAGTCTGCTGGGAGAAGGCACAGCCACCCCGACCAACTGCCGGGAGCAGGGGGCAACGGGAGAGAAAGGCCTACATCTTACCTCCTTAGCCAAACACAGAAGTTACCGCCCCACAATCCTCCCCATATTTTCCCCCAACAGTTGTTTTTTGAGTTCCATTACAAGTGTATTGCCATTATTCTGAATCCCAAATCCAGGACCTGCAAGGTTTCCAGAACGGCTAATGATTTGGGTCACCCAACGTGATAGATTCCTCCCCCCCCCCTCATTTAATTATTCTAAAGGATCACTGGGCAAAAGGAAGGGCAAAACCCTTGGAGAATGGTGAGAGACCATACAACTAACCATACAACTAACCGTAGAACTAGCTTAGATTTGGCAATAGGCATTTGCATTGTTTTGCAAGAATGAGAAAGCCGCAATTTCAGGCCTCCAAATTTGCAGTGAGCGACATCTCTTCCATTTGTGCAAGTAATTTCCATGTTTGTCAGAGAAAGTTCAAGCTGTCCGGAGGACTCCCACATTAGCCTCTGGACACGCACCCTCCCTGCCCCAGCCTCCCTCAGCTAGTCCAATCTTTCTCGCGAGCCAAAGCCAGTCGGAGGTGTATGACCTTCCTCACTCTCATATCCGCCCGCCCTCGATTCTGCCCCTAAATATAGGTCAACCGATGGCAACACAACTCACCTGTTTGCTCCATGAATGTCCGTATGCCCAGGATGTTGCTGACCGAATGTGCCGAGGGCCAGGAACGAGGGATGCTGACATGACCCGCTGAGCCCGGGACCCCGGGATGGCTGCCCATCTTGGCACCGGTGGGCGATACTGGGCTAGGATAGGGGTACTGGTAGATGTGATTGTAGGGCAGCGCAGGTTGAGGCGGCGGCTGCTTACTAGCCTCGTAAGGCCCAGGTTGCGCCAGGCTGCCAATCTTGTTGCGCAAGATTCGGCTAATGGAGCTCACCGAGGGCACGTTGTATTTGTCACAGACGCCATCGGCCAGCAGCCGATCACGGATCTCCCAGGCAAAGATACCAGGGTCTCCTTGCTTGTAGTCCCGGATGTGTTTGACCACGTTGGGGGTGGTGACACGGGGTTTACTGCCCCCGATGGCCCCGGGCAGGATAGAGCCGGTTTCGTTGTAGCGCGCCAGGATTTTGCTCACGCAGCCGTGGGAGACACGGAGTTGCCGACTGATGTCACAGGGTCGGATGCCCAGCTGTGCTAGCTCCACGATGCGCAAGCGGATGGCGTTGGGCAAGGGACGGCCATTGACGAACACACCGCCCAGCTGGTTCACTTCGCCGTAAGTCTGCTCTGCGGATGCGCCAGGCCAGAGTGAGCCGAGCGGGAGAAAACACCGGCGGGTTAACCAAAGGGGGCCACGCGGGGCGTTGGGCGCGACTCCTAAGGTGACCCGGAGGTCCCCAGGCAGACAGCACGGGAGCGGTGGGCCAGGGGGTGGAGACCAGCCTGAACCAGCTCCAAAAGGATGGGCAGGCATAGGGACCTTGTGGGGGAGGCACTGAGCGCTGTAACCAACGGTGCCCTTTCCTGACCTTGGGAGCGCCTATACTTAGGCATCCCCCTCCTAAACTGGAGACCTGCTCTTCGAAGGCTGGGAACACGCGGAGAATGTGGGGCGTCCAGGACCATCCAAGACCTACGACCGTTTCGCCCAGGAAAAGTGGATTCCCCTCCCCGCCTCTGGATTCTCGATCCTGCTTATAAACCCTCCCGCTCCCTACTTGCCTCTTGCCCCTTACCCATAACGCGCGAGCCAGCCAGCTGCCTGGCGCCGGAACGGCGGGGGCTGGGCCCGGCGCAGTCCGGGAGAGCTCGGGCGCCGCCACCGCCGGAGAGGCATAGAGGGAGGGCGTGCGCCAGCCGAGAGCCGCGGCCGCCCGGCCGCGGGCTGGAGACGCGCGCTGCGCCGCCACTGAGTGCGCTGCCGCCCGCCCTAGGCCCTGCAGCTGCCGCGGCCGTCCGCTCCCAGGACACTCTCCACGCCCGCGACCCCAGGCCCAGGGTGAACTTCATCCGATTGGGAGAAATTCGTCTGACCGGGAAGCTGCAGCGTGCGAGAATCAATTTGACGTGTCCTCCACGTCAATCTCTGCAGTCACGCCGGAGACGCGCGAGTTGGCAGCTCATTGGTTCTCGTCACTGCGCCCGGCGCCCCCCTCCCCGCCCAGAAACTCTACCCTCTCCTCTGGTCCTCCTACCTCCGCCTTTCCCCATCTCCCCCCTCTCCGGAACCCGCCCCCCCCCCTCACTCCACAAACACACCGTCCCCAAACCAGCTGAGCCAGGGACGGTCCAATTTCCAAGACCCTTGCAGCCTCCTTTTCCTCCTTCCGGCTTTGGGAATGGTAGGGAAGTTATTTCAAACTGCTTATGTATTAGTAGTGGTACTAGTGTTACTTTTGGTTTTTGTTTTATTACCACCTCTGCCACTATTACTAACAAGATATTAGAGAATAAACGTTGAGCTGGGAGAGTAGTTCGTATAGGGCTTGCCTAATAACATTCATCCAGAAGGGTGCTGGTTCAATCCCAGCACTGAGAAAGAAAAGAAAAAAAAAGTTGAGAGAGGATAAAATTTGATCAAGGTATTTAGGATATAGTAACTCACCCAGCCCCCTCCCTGGGCAGGAGCTAGGAAAAAGGGCAATGCCTCAGCCTGATTGAACATCAGTGTGTAAGTTCAAGATTAAAAGAAAATTAAAGCTCCCGCTAGGTGCAGGGAGTCTAGGGACAAGGGTCCAAGGGTCCAAGGCATTTTCTGCTGTGAGCTACTCCCCAATCCTACTATCAGGAAATCTTTATAGTGTCGAATGAATAGCCACGCACTCCTTTAAAGTAGTGGGGTGATTTCAACAATTGGTAAGAGGCATATTCCAAATACTGTCTCTTGAAGTCAGGCTTTCCCACCAGAACGCATTCCTCTCCCAGAGGGATAAAAGGTGGAGAGATTGCGATCTGTTGTGTCACTACCTACTCCCACCTAAGCAAGCACACGCAGGTGACATGCTGGAGGCTAACTGCCCGAAGCCTGAATGTGCCTGCCCGGCCTAGCCTTTTCCCTGGAACCGAAGCTTCAAACCCACCCACCCTCATCAATTAGCCTTTCTTCTTGGAAGGAGAAGCACAACCCTAAACTGTGTAGTACTGACATTAGAAACGAACTCTTTTCTACTCCATACCAACTCTCCCACTTCTGTATTCCTGGCAGATACGGCTAGCAATAACCATCCTAGCGGAAGCCACTCTGTGATCAGGAGAGAGCAAGTACTTGGGAGGGGAGTAAGGGTTCTTGTACCTGAATGGATGCAAGGGGAGACCTGAGAATTTTCAGTGTAGACCCAGTAAATCCCAAGAGTATTAGGCTGATTTTTTTAAAGGTGCAGGGAGGGGAGCCCAAAAGTGAGTCTAAAAAACAGCCTCAGTTCCAGAGACTTCTATGCTCTCACAATACTTTCCAGAAAGATAGAAAACACCCCCAGGCTTCCCAACACACTTGTCCCTCAAGGATCAAGCTCTCTAGCTAGAGCAGCTCACAGTTGCTGGCTGAACTAATGTGGTGATGCTCTTGAGAGACACAAACAACATCCTACAGAGCAAGGTGAAGAGGCCCCCAAGAGACCCCTGACCCCTTTTCTCTCTCCCCAGGGACCAGACAGCCTATCTAAATGTGTGGGTTAGCAGAGTCGGAAATACAAGTTACAAGTTATCAGGAGAGAGATCGAGGCAGCAAGGCTGAGCAAAACTTGGACTGGGGCTTTGACAAGAATAACTTGTGAGAAAAGAAATATCAAAAAGACTGGAGGATTCTTCCCTCCCGCAGCGCTGAAACTACTGTATTTCCTTCTCTGGCTCCCACAGACTAGGAGATCACTAGGACTGGGAAGAAGTTTGTGAATCAATACACTGTTGTGGAGGTGAAAGAGTGGGAGCTGGGAAACCCATCTGGAAAACCAAGACTGTCCAGGACAGCATTGTTATGGTAAGGTGGACACGCAGTACCAAGATGGCCCCCTGCGGCATTGCAGGAAGGACGGCTCCCAGCTCCGGCATTTCTCTCGAGGTTTTTCCTGAACCAGAGAGCACCCGATCTAGACGTTTATTGCGGGTATTGCAAGTCAGACAATGGATACTTAGGAAGGTGGATTTTTCCCCCATTGTGAGGTCTCTAAAATATGAAAAACACAGCTTTCATACCGTGACTCGGTGCATGTCGGCAAATAGGAGACACAGCAGAAGCTATTTCTTCCCCACCCCGTGGAGGTGACTCAAGAAACCAATAAAGCAAGTCTGCCGCCGTGGGAGCAGCTTTGACCCGACTATGCTTTGGGGGGAAAGTGAGGGAACCTCCTCACCGTGGGCCGCCTCTGCCGAGCAAAGCCCCGGGTGCTGGCCAGGCGGCGTTCCCCCATTCTCTTCAGGGAAGATTGCCTGGTGGATGCGGGAGAGGGTTCAGGAAATCATTGGAAAACTGTGCTGGGAGTGGGGGGGGGGGGGGGGGGGGGGAGGGTGGTCAGGAGGCCTCTGGTTTTGCAGAGCTGGCCTTCACCTCACCCGGGTCAACCTCCCCAGCGGCGCACGGTCGGGACCACACAGCGCTTCCAACATCCCTCTGCCCCAGCCAGGCCAAGGGGAAAATTCTTACAGTTTGTCGCCCCCTGTTGAGCCCCGGCCGGGGCTCTGCGTTTTCTCCTCCAGTGGACAGGAGGACTAGGGGACTAGGTGGCCCAAAGGAAGGATCGCAGAAGGAAACGAAATGTCTCTTCTGCCTCGTGCGGGATGCAGCTTGCTCCCGCAGCTACTGGGCAGTATGAGAGCGTAGAAGGAAAGCGCGCACGGATTGCGCGCTTTCGTGGGGCTGCGTTCGGCACCATCGTTTTGCGGCGCCTAGGCGCGCAGAGTGCAACCGAGGAAAGCATGGCTTCCAGGGGCGAGAAAGTCACCGAGCCTGTCGGGGAGGGAACGCACGCAAGAGCCGAGGACGTGATTCATCAGCTCGGGGCTGGACTCCCATTCATTTCACTCCCCGAAAGGACTCAAAACCTGGCCCAGGTAACCCAAGACAGGGAAAGAAGAGAGGTAAGCTGTGCTATAGATGTTTAAGTCAAAGAAAAGGCACGAAAGGGGGTGCTTTCCCTTCTGGTAGCTGGCAGCAGGGAGGGTCACCTGTGATATGCCTTTTGGCCACTGTCACCTGAGCTATGAATGCTGCACCTGAGATTTCAGGTTGCCTGACAGCCTAGGGCTGGGTGACAAGGTTGACCATAGAGAGACGGTGCCATCCCCGCCCCGCCTTCAGAACGCCTTGGTTTTGGATGGGGTTGTTTGAATGCAAAAGGCATGTGCAGCAGGTTGGAATGTTCCACTCATTTCAAAGTCTCCAGAAAAAAAAAACAACAACAAGCGAACGCAAGTCTGATTCCAGTCCCGCAGGTGCGCGTTTCCATTCTACCCAGAAGGAACCCACACGGGTGGCTTTCCTGAGCCACTTGTCACAGTGGCGCTCTGGCATCCATCAACTGCCTGCCAGGTTACAGGGCCATGATCCTGGGGCTTCCGTAGGAAGACCTAGCCTTCTGCTAAGAGGGAGTTGCTTTTAGCTCCTGCGAGTCCTGTATCCACTCAGGCCCTGTAATTTTGCTGTTTGTAAGAGTACTTGTGCCCTGCATCATGAGCTCCAAAATCTAAAATGAAAACAAACAGAAACCTTTTTAATTTTCGTTCTTTAAATTTACTTAAAACTAAAAGAGCAGCACAGGCTTCGGATGCTTTATGAGAAAGATCTGACGCAAACACAGTTTGGCAAAGGAGATGATAGCACACCATACTTAACTGAAAATAGCAATAAGAAAACTGGGGGAGGGGGAAGCAAACATGAATAAGAAGTGTCTAGCTGCAATAAAACATCAGGGATCACTGTGTCCTATAAGGAAATTAAAAGCCCTTAGGGAGAGCACTAACAGTGAACTAGCTCTCTGGAAATGGGAATATGTGTTAACACAGAGAAATTCTATATGGAAATGCTGAAGCAGTAAAGGTAAGGGGGACGGGGGAGGAGGGAGACTAACTCAGAAAAATGACCCGGTGAACTAAGTTAGAGACTCCAAGGAGGTGCCCAGTGCAGCACCTGCTCTCTAGGCTGGACCACACAGGCTCCCCAAACCCCATATGGAAGGTGTTGAAGACTTGCAATTAACATTGATACACAGTGAGAAGGCTCAGCTGCTTCGCTGGGCCCCATTCCCGAGGTTTGTTTTGACGTGGCTTGTTTGTGACTACGGTGGACTTAGAGTCCTAAGATTCACGTTAAATTTGTTGGCCTGGAAGTGTTCACTGTTGAAACCAGGTCAGGCTGGAGCACTATGATTTGCATCTACCTTGACTACTAAAAGGCCCTCCGCATCCAAAGACATGTAGCTCATGAAAAATAAAGGAAAAACAAATTTTTTCAGTTTTCCCAAATGAAATGAAGAAATAAGAACAGAAGAGTATTTTTCGTTGAATAATCAAAACAGTGGATGACCAGAGCCCCTTGATTCGATTCAAAGGCATGGGGGAGAGGAGAATTAGAAATCGTTTGCTGTGAACCCCTCTCCCACCCCCACCACACACTGGAAATAAACAGGGGGAAGCTGAGCCCTGCAAAGAAAAAAATCTATTGTACTTTCTGCCCTGAGACCAGGTTATTACATTTATTACGTTGTTTTTAGGGTATGAAACATTTTTAACTGTTGCATTTAGGTGTTAAAAGTAAACTACAGAGGCTGATGCCCTCACGGAAAAAAAATAGTATGAACTTTGGAAGGGGACCCCACCCCGCTTTATTCACCAGAGTTTTATTTGGTGTGTCTCCTTGCCTTCCCTAGCAATGGACATGTCACAAAGCCTCTATTTGCCTTTACATAAAATTACCCATGCTATGTAATCAGAGCTATTTCATTTCATTCCATCAACCCCAAAACTTGCAGAGGACTCCAGGCACTAGCCAAAATTCCACCTTCGCAGTGAGCTCTGAAAAATGTTTCTGTGAC